TGGGTTAAAGCCCCTGCCTTCCGGTCAGGTCATGATCCCAGGGTTCTGGGATCGAGCTCCAAATTGGGCTCTCTGCTTGGTGGGGAGCCTGCTTCCTCCTCTCTCTCTGCCTGCTTCTCTGCCTATTTGTGATCTCTGTCTCTCAAATAAATAAATAAAATCTTTATTAAAAATAAATAAATAAAATCTTTGAAAAAAGAATTAAAAAAAGAAAAAGAACAGTGTATGTTGTTGGAAGGTGCCAGGTTGGAGCAGTGTTACAGTAGTGATTTTTATAGTCTTTGGGGAGGATACTTATTTTGTCAATTTGCGTTCCGTCTTTAAGGAAGCTACATTTCTCTTCCTTTTAATCTTGGAGTATTAGATATATATGCTATAAATTGTATTTTAGTTTCGGGGGAGAAAATGGACAAATATTTTGCTCTTAGAGTAATTTTCTAGGCAAGGACTTTTAAGCTTGAAAATGTGAATCCAGCTAGTTCTGGAGTATCCCAATCTTGTCGGTCAAACACAGTATTTTCTGATGCACTTTTCTTATTTTTCTCTGCTTTTTCTTTATATCCTCTTTGGCCACCTTTTTTGTATTACACTTTTTCTGTATTCTGTATTCTTTATTATATATCCCAGGCTTCTCCTTATCTCTCCCAGCTTTCTAATGGTTGGTAGTTTAAAAATTAGTTGAATGTCCTGTGGTCTAATTACAACAGTAGGTAGGAGAGCAAGTGAGAGAGAGGTGGTTAAAGCTTTGGCGTGTTTGGAGCACAAAGGCAGTCTTAAAAAGGAAACAGGCTATGTGTCTGTTCAGTGAGGCCACCACAAAATGTTTGTTATATAACGAAGGGTCCTCATTCCTGCCCTGGGATGAGGAGATGGAGAGTGGGGGTTACTAGGAAGCCCTGTATGATTGTCTAGCCACCAAGCAAGGAAAGGCAAGCACCCTGAAGTGTGCCTAGTTGACCTCTTTTATTCCCGGTAGGCGAGCTTCGGGGCCCAGTGAGTCCTTGTGCATACACGTTATCCTGATGTAGGCTGGCTATGCTGACATGTGAGTTTGCCACTTCCAACCTCCCCCAGCCTGGGCAGCTTAGCTCCTTTTACAGAATCTGATGAATTTAACTAAAATTGGCAGCTGATTTCTCCTTCAGTGTTAGGTTGCCAAGCACCCGAACTCCAGGCTGATCTGTTGACTCTAAAGCTGTTGGTCTGTTAGTCCCTGAACTACCTTTGGAAGCAGAAGCATCATTACTTCATCAGTTCTACAAAGCTCTTCTTGCAATTTTTTTTTTATTAGAAATGAGTTGAGGGGTGCCTGGGTGGCTCAGTGGGTTAAGACTCTGCCTTTGGCTCAGGTCATGATCCTAGGGTCCTGGGATCAAGCCCCATATCTGCCTCTCTGCTCAGCGGGGAGCCTGCTTCCCCCTCTCTCTCTGCCTGCCTCTCTGCCTACTTGTGATCTCTTTCTCTCTCTCTCTGTCAAATAAATAAATAAATCTTTTTAAAAAAATGAGTTGAGTAGATGCCTCTACTGTAGGGACTCTGGAGCTTTTTTGGATAACTAAAAAGAGCTGGGTAAGGGTTCACTAGAGTAGTTAGAGCTATCCAGGGAACACCATTTAGTTATCCCATCATTATGTTGGGGACCATGATCTTTTCATTCTTTCCCTTCCTCCATTCTTAAATCCTTCTGTACTTTTTTCTTATCTTGCTTTTTTTTTTTTTTTCCTTTTTACCCAGGCATTTTTTTTCTAAGGGTTTCCTTTTTTTTTTTTTTTTTTTTTTTAAGATAGAGAGTGAGAGAGAGAGAGCATGAGCAGGGGCGCAGACAGAGAGGGAGAAACATGTTCCCTACTGAGTAAGGAGTCTGATGCAGGACTTGATCCTGGGACCCTGGGATCATGACCTGAGCCAAAGGCAGAGCCTTAACCTCCTGAGCCACCCAGGCGTCCCACCTGGGAGTCTTTTAAAACATCTCCAGTGCATAATTCCATGCTAGACCAATTAAATCAGAATCTTTGAGGAATAGGGCCCAGGAGTCAGTACTTTAAAAAAAAAAATTTATTTGAGAGAGCGAGCTTATGTGCGTGCACATGAGCACATGCGTGCGTCTGTGCAAGTTATGGGAGAGGCAGAGGGAAAAAAAACCTCCTAGCTGACTCCCATTGAGTGTGGAGCCCTGCCGCAGGGCTTAATCCCAGGACCCCAAGATCATGACCCAAGCCGAAACCAAGAGTTGGCTGCTCAGCCAACTGAGCCATCCAGGTGCCCCAGGAATCAGTACTCTTTTAAAAACCTTTTAAGGGATAATTCCATTGTGCATTAGTGTTGAGGCTCACTGGCAAAGGTTAAGGAGGTCATGTAGAACCTCCTTAAGAAGGTGTAGAAAGAAGGTTTTTAGTCAGAATCTGGAGGGATACCAACATTCAAGAGTAAATTTAGGAATAACGTTAGCAAAGGAGACCTTTATGGGCCAGGATATGGAGTCTTTTAGGCTTTGGTGCCTCACTTCTCTATTGTAAGATTCTAGTGTTGGGTCCACATGACTTCTGGGCATGACTGTGTTTCCAGTAGAACCTGAATTATCTGCTTCTCCTGCTTCTGGGAATTTGCAGCAATTCCCTTGCCTCCTATTTTCCTACCACTAATACCTAGACAGACTGATTTATACAAATAAGATTTTCTAGTAGCCTATAGAGCATTCTTGATATTAAACAGCAGGAGCCTGGGAGATGATCCTATAGGACAGTGGTTCCCATGTCTATTCACATTTGTAATTTACCTAAAGCTTATATCTTTTTTCAAGTTCATATTCATTCTGTAATTGTTATCTTGGGCTTTATGGTGTAACATAGCAGCAAGAAATAGGGCTTCCCACTGGGCAGAAGTAGCTGGTGGTTTCTCTTATTTTGCTTTTCTTTTTCCTCTGTCCCCCTTCTTCCACTTAACCTCCTTAACTCCAACTGTGTTTGTGACTTGCTTTTTACCTGTAATGAAAGAACAGGGTGAGCAGTAAAGGGGCCATGTAAACAATGCCAGAAATGGAGGGCGGCAGCAGCAGATGCCTCTAGACCTCCTTAGGACCAACTGTGATGAATTGAGAGGAAGCAACAAATTACAGAATGGAGCCAGAGTTCTCAAGAGCCTAGGGATTGAGTAGTTTATAGAATAAGCTCCAGTGTTTTTGTGGAAGAACAAAGAGGTAAGTTTGAGTTAGATGTGTTATAAATCCAACAAGAGTACCCAACGACCCTGCAATTGCACTACTAGGTATTTACTCAAAGAATAAAAAAAGACAGGTTCAGAGGGGTATATGCACCCCAATGTTTATAGCAGCATTATCAACAATAGCCAAACTATGGAAAGAGCCCAAATGTCCATGGACTGGTGAATGGACATAGAAGATGGGGGTGGGTGGGTGTGTGTGTATGTTACTGAACCATCAAAAAGAATGAAATCTTGCCATTTGCAGTGATGTGGATATAGCTAGAGTGTATTATGCTAAGTGAAATAAGTCAGTCAGAGAAAGACAAATACCATATGATTTCACTCATGTGGAATTTAAGAAACAAAACTGATGAACATTTGGGAAGGGAGAAGAGAGCAGGGGGGAAGCAAACCATAAGAGACTCTTAACGATAGAAAACAAACAATTGATAGAAGGTGGTGGGTAAGGAATGGGCTAAGTGAAGAGCAGTAGGTGTTATATGTAATGATAAATCATTAAATTCTCCTCCTAAAACCAATATTATACTATATGTTAACTAATTAGAATTTCTTTCTTTTTTTTTTTTAAGATTTTATTTATTTATCTGTCAGAGAGACAAAGCACGAGCAGGGAGAGTGGCAGGCAGAGGGAGAAGTAGGTTCCCTGCTGAGCAGGCAGCCCGATGTGGGATTCCATCCCACGACCCTAGGATATGACCTGAGCTAAAGGCAGACACTTAACTGACTGAGCCACCCAGGCATCCCAACTAACTAGAATTTCAATAAAAATTTGAAAAGAAAAAAATATGTGCAACAAGAGGGAACTGCATTGTAAGGAATTGAATGGGCAAGAAAAAAAACAGATTGAGCTCAATTTTATAGACCCTTAAAGATTAATAAAACATGGTTTCTTCCTTCAGAGATTTTCAGTCTAATGAGGGAGACATTTGTATTAATAATTAACGGAATGGAGGAATGAAATAATTACTAGGTAGGTATACAATAATAGAAATTATTTTCTCTAAGAAGACAAGCCTTTTTGGAGAGGTGACATCTAGGTTTGGCATCAAAAAGATGAGGAAAATTTTACTCAGAAGGTTGGCAACTGGACATGGGGGTGGCATTCTAGGTTGAGGAAGCAGCATGAATAAAGACTTGGTACCAGAGTGTGTTCAGGGAGCAGTCAGCAGACTAGTGCGGTTGGAGCATGTGGTACATGGGGAAAATGGTGGGTGAGGCTGTTACTTAATACTTCACTCCCATTTGTATCATTGGTGTGATGAAGGCCTCTTCTCTCCTTGTGTTAATTAAATCCAGGAATATCTCAGGCCTGCAGACTTCAGCTGTGTCCATTAAACTGTAGGGATGGGGCAGCATTTGCCACTAAGGATGAAGCAGGAGTCACCCGCAGTGATTTGTTTTTCCTACTACAGATGAGTCACCCCATCTGAAGATTCTGAAATGATCTCTTGATTGAAAATCACTGCCATGGAGAGCCACTGTTTATAAGGACTGTGTCACATTCTTCAGATGTGCTGTAGGAGAATAAAGGTTGAAAATATGACCCTGATTGTAAACTCCCCAAGAGCAAGGATTGTGTCATTAATTGCTTTGGTATTTTGCACAAATTCCTATTTGGGGCCTCGATAAGTAGGCAGTTAATGCTATATAACCACCATTTCACATCATAATTTTTATAGACGCCAGTTGTTTGGTCAGTTGACTTCTGGCCATCTGTGAAACTGGAAAAGAGTAATAATGAGCCCAGGTTTCTAACTTCATCGCCTGCCTTTATACAGAATCCTCACCATGGATGGGCTCATTGAGGACATTAAGCGACGGCGGTACTACGAAAAGCCTTGTCGCCGACGACAAAGGGAAAGCTACGAAACCTGTCGGCGAATCTACAACATGGAAATGGCTCGCAAGATCAACTTCTTGATGCGGAAGAATCGGCCGGATCCATGGCAGGGCTGCTGAGGCCTGTGGATAGTAGGCCCAGTATGAAAATCCCTATCTAGGTGTCTCCTTTCTCCAATCCCATTTTCTCTTACTTTTCTTATAATAAATTCAATCCCGTATATGCAAGAAGGCCTGCAAATATAGAAGGAATCCCATAGTTAGCAATGGACCCTCTGTTCTATTGTGTGAAAAAGAAACTAAGCCAAAAAATAGTCTAGGAGTAGAATGGTGGTTCCCAAAGGCTGGTTGGGAGTGGAGAATGGGGAATTAGTGTTAAGTGGGTACAGAATTTCAGTGGGGAAGCTGAAGAATTTCTAGAGACAGATGGTGGTGATACTTGCACAATAATGTGAATGTACTTAATGCTACTGAACTGTACACTTAAATGGTGAAAATGGCAAATTTCATGTATATTTAGCTGTGATAAAATGCTTTAGTCTAGGAGAGGTAAGAAACTTTTCTAAAATGTAGTAGAATATATCTACCATTTCCTACTCAATTCTTACAAAACCCAAAGCAAGACATTATTGGAAAAGCATCTGTTACTCTTTCCTGAACTGTCCCCTCCTACCAACTGTTAGATAAAAGGAGAGGAGGCATCTACATATTTGGAATAAATTTTGCTACTGAAACACCCACCAATGAGACTAGAGTGCTGGAATCCTTATGCAGAGGAATCCTTAAGACAAATCTGTTTTCTTTCTTTCTTTTTTTTTTTTTCAAAGATTTTGTTTATTTATTTTGACAGAGAGCGAGAGAGGGAACACAAGCGGGGGAGCAGGAGTGGGAGAGGGAGAAGCAGGCTTCCTGCTGAGCAGGGAGCCACTGTGGGGCTTGATCCCAGGACGCTGGGATTGTGACCTGAGCCGAAGGCAGGCGCTTAATGACTGAGCCACCCAGGCACCCCATCCTTTAGTTTTCCTAAAGGAGTCTACTGAAGGGATAATGGAGAAGAAATAAAACAGTAGGTAGATGGTAAAAAAGAAGGAATGGGTGAGTATTAAGGGATATAAGGGCACAGAGCCAGAAATATCTACAGCAGTGATTCTCAAAGTGTGGTCTTAAGATCAGCAGCATGAACATAACCCAATTAATTGGTTGAAATGCAAATTCTGGGATCTACTTTAGACTTTCTGAATAGGAAATTGGAGTTAGAGCCCAGTAATCTATTTTAACAAGCCCTGCAGGTGATTTTGATGCCCGCTAAAGTTTGAGACTCCCTGCCCCATCCTACTCAAAAGTAGTTTCCAGGCAGAGGTCCCCTCTATCTACTTCTGCTCAATAGGCACTCTTGGGTATGTGAGCCGCTCTGCTTCCTTTCCTGCTGTTTCCTTTGGCCTTGCTCCCCTGACAGCCACACTGCTAGTATAAGGAAAGTTGGTGCCAGCCCCTGTAGAACACAGTGAGTAGGTGGAGCAACTAGCCCATCTCCTCTCCCAGGCTCCAGCCCTCAGTATGGTGTTGAAGAAGGAGGTAAAGGGCAGACTGCCAAGCACCATGTCTCTCCAGATTACTAGTGTTCAAACACTGCCCTCTTGTGGTATAGCTGCGTGAAATCTGATTTCTCTGGTCTTAATTTTAGTCTTTTCAATATCATTTCTCCTTTTCACAATTATCATACTTATTGATTAGGCAGGCCTGCATGAAGATATGATGGAACCATGGTTCCTTGCCTTTCAGCGCTTGATCATCTTTCTTCCCCTCATGAGTAAAGCTCTTGGTGAATAAATCATATCTTAGGGCACAGCATAGAAGTAGCTTAGAGATAGAAGATTTGGTCCTTGCACTCCAGAAACTTACACTGCCATTGGAGAAATGCTAAATACAGACTGTGTTCAATTTTGTTACCTTTGTTCAACCTCATTTTCAAGTTAGACATTGATACTTCTGAATCCCTTTTCAGTCTCTGACTTTGGTCTTTAATGTATCACTTTTGAGTGATTTTGAGCCATGGCACTGGTTCACCTCCTGCCAGTCGCTGCTGCTGAAGAATAAAGGCCTGGCCTTTGCCTAAATGGTAGGGTATGTTTGTGATAGAAGAGCTAAGGCCTCTTTAAAAAAAAAAGAAGAAGAAGAAGAGAAGGAGCCAGGCCTGTTACTTGGCAGTATTCCTCTGAGATTATCTTTGCTCCTGGGCTCCCTCCAAAACATCAAGTGGTGGCTTAAGATCTGGAATTTCCTTCATCTCCGAAATGATCCCCTGCTTGTTGTAGTCATTTTCCTGACCATTGCCAACATACCCCAGCGCAGTGAACAGTGATGGGTTTTAGCAGATAGCTAGTTGGGAGGCCTCTTGGGTAAAGGGGTTCATTGACTGTCTGCCTGAAGTCCACTCAGTTTGTGTTGTCATGGCAGGGAAAAAGACCTTCTACTCTCTGCTCTGAGAAGCTGGAAGGTATCTCATGGTCATCTAATGATAGGAATTTCTGTATCCTTTTATCCCTGCCTTGGGTTCAAGAGAGGGGTGGTTTGGTGTTTGACCCAGTTGGAGTGTGATAGATGTGGTACCTCATATCCTGATCCCAGGCACCCATGACATTTCTTAGATGTCCACTGGATTTCCTCTGACAGGTCCATTCTAGTCATAATTTAAGGATCTTACAATGTTTAGTGCTCTGGAAACAGGTACCCCTTTAAAACTGGGACTCTGTTGTGGAACTCTGACATTGTACTCTAAAGCTTTCAGAAGTGCACAAGTATGAAATGAGAATTTGCCCCTATGTTAACTGAAAACATTAAGGAGTAGTAAGTCACCGAATACTCACAAGGTAAAGTAATAATGGAGTGATATGTTAAATATAGGTGTTTGAAGGGAGAGGAAAATATTGGGACTTCCAGTGTGTGCCTGTTATCTTACATACAAAGTTGTTTACTTAGATCTGGATTTAGTCATGCTGTTGGCAAATTATTTAATATAAAATCTAGTTTCCCCTGTAAAATGAGAATAATTGTATATAGGGGTTTGTGGTGAGGATTAAATGAGATCATGCATGTCAAATGCTCAGCATGGTTTCTGGCACGTAGAACTTAATAAATGTTAGCAATAATCCCTCAGTTGTGCCAGGCAGAAGCCTGATCATTGAGTCCTCCTCCACACTCAGCCATCACTAGCATCCACTTATTCCCCATCTTGAAGACTAAATGCCACAACCCGAGTCCCAGCTCCATTCTGGATTACAATAGTCATTTAGCCATCTTGCATCAGTGTTGCCTGGCCTTCAATTCCCTCCACCCTTAGTTCAGTGTGATTGTTCTAAAATGCAATCTTGAGGGGTGCCTGGGTGGCTCAGTGGGTTAAAGCCTCTGACTTTGGCTTAGGTTATGATCTCAGGGTCCTGGGATTGAGCCCCGCATTGGGCTCTCTGCTTGGTGGGGAGCCCGCTTCCCCCCTCTCTCTCTGCCTGCCTCTCTGTCAAATAAATAAATAAAATCTTTAAAAAAAAAATGCAACCTTGATTGTTTCACTTTCCTGCTTAAGGAGATATTTGGTTCCCATTGTTTTCAAGATAAAGTCCAAACTACTAGCACAGCATTTAAGGACTTTCATGATTGAATCATACTTTTCTGTCTAGCCACTGTCCCCTCCAATGTACTTCTGGGACATGCTGTTTTCTCCTTCTGCCTGTTTACCAGCTCTTGGTTTGGACGTTCTCTGAGATGACTTCCCTGATCTCTATACCAACTTTTCTTCTATTCTCTCTTATCAGCTTATTTCTGTAATAGTAGTTTCTTTCTCTCTCTCTCTCTTTTTTTTTTTTTTAAGATTTTTTTATTTATTTGACACAGAGAGAGAGCACACACACACAAGCAGGAGGACCAGCAGAGGGAGAGGGAGAAGCAGGCTCCCTGTGGAGCAAGGAGCCCAATGTGGGGCTCGATCCCAGGACCCCAGGATCATGACCTGAGCCAAAGGCAGACGCTTAATGACTGAGCCACCCCGGTGCCCCAATTGTAGTTTATTTCTATAATTTTTTGTGATGTACTGCTTAGTTGCCTTTCTCCCTCCATTAGATTTTCAGTTACCTGGAGGTTGGATCTTTGTTGGTGGTGGTGGTTTGTTTTGAACCACTGTATTCCCAGTGCCTGGTATAATGCCAAGTGTCTAAATGTTCAATAAATGGGGCACCTGGATGGCTCAGGCGGTTGAGCATCTAACTCTTTTTTTTTTTTTTTTAAAGATTTTATTTACTTATTTGACAGAGAGAGATCACAAGCAGGCAGAGAGGCAGGCAGAGAGAGAGGAGGAAGCAGGCTCCCTGCTGAGCAGAGAGCCCGATGCGGGGCTCGATCCCAGGACCCTGAGATCATGACCTAAGCCGAAGGCAGCGGCTTAACCCACTGAGCCACCCAGGCGCCCCGAGCATCTAACTCTTGATTGCAGCTTAGGTCATGAACATCGGGTCTTGAGATCAAGCTCTGTGCTTGGTGGGGCATCTGCTTGAAATTCTCTCCCTCTGCCCCTCCCCCCCCCCAAAGTAAAGAAATCTTTAAAAAAATAAATGCTTAACAAATATTTTTTTGGACTTTTTTTAAGGATTTTATTTGTTTGACAGAGACACAGTGAGAGAGGGAACACAAGCAGGGGGAGTGGGAGAAGAAACAGGCATCCCACCGATCAGGGAGCCAGATGCGGAGCTTGATCCCAGGATCCTGGGATCATGATCTCAGGCGAAGGGAGACGCCCAACAACTGAGCCACCCAGGCACCCCTCTTTTGAGATTTTTTTTTTAAGGATTTTATTTATTTAATTTGACAGAGAGATCACAAGTAGGCAGAGAGAGAGAGGGGGAAGCAGGCCCCCCACCCAGCAGAGAGCCTGATGTGGTGCTCGATCCCAGGACCCTGAGAAACCATGACCTGAGCCGAAGGCAGAGGCCTCAACCCACTGAGCCACCCAGGCCCCTGGAGAATTTTTTTTTTTTTTAAGATTTTATTTATTTATTTGACAGAGAGAGATCACAAGTAGGCAGAGAGAGTGAGAGGGAAGCAGGCTCCCCACCGAGCAGAGAGCCCAATGCGGGGCTCGATCCAAGGACCCCGAGATCATGACCTGAGCCGAAGGCAGTGGCTTAACCCACTGAGCCACCCAGGCACCCCTGGAGAATTTTTTTTTAAGGTCATCTCCACACCCAGCGTGGGGTTCAAAATTTAAAACCCCTAGATCAAGAGTCAAATGCTCTACTGACTGACCAGCCAGGTACCCCTCAAAAAATATTTCTTGAAGGAGCATACGACAGTAGCAATGATCAGTTGAGTTTTACTATGTGCTTGACACTGTACTAAATATTTCTTTATTGAAATAAAATATACATAACATGAAGTTTATCATTTAAACCATTTTTTAAAAAGATTTTATTTATTTATTTGACAGAGATCACAAGTAGGCAGAGAGGCAGGCAGAGAGAGAGGAGGAAGCAGGCTCCCTGCTGAGCAGAGAGCCTGATGGCGGGGCTCGATCCTAGGACCCTGAGATCATGACCTGAGCCAAAGGCAGAGGTTTTAACCCACTGAGCCACCCAGGAGCCCCTAAATCATTTTTAAGTGTACAATTTAGTGGCATCAAGTACTTGCACTATGTTGTGTGACTATTACAACTATTTCCAAAACTTTTTCATCACTTGAGACAAATTCGGTCATCATTAAGCAATAATTCCCCCCCCCGCCCTCTCCACAGCCCTTGGTAGCCTCTAGTCTATTTTAGGTACCTCATATATGTGGAATCATATAATACTTATCATTTTGTGTTTGATTTATTTCACTTAGCATATTTTCTTTTTTTTTTTTTTTAATTTATTTATTTGACAGAGAGAGATCACAAGTAGGCAGAGAGGCAGGCAGAGAGAGAGGAGGGAAGCAGGCTCCCTGCTGAGCAGAGAGGACCCTGGGATCATGACCTGAGCCGAAGGCAGAGGCTTTAACCCGCTGAGCCACCCAGGCGCCCCATCTTTTCATGTGTTTATTGGCCATTTGTATATCTTTGCAGAAACACGTATTCAAGTCCTTCATCCATTTTTGAATTGGGTTTTTTTTTTTTTCTTAAGTTTTTGAGTTATAGGAGTTCTTTATATACTCTGGGATATTATTCACTTATCAGATATATGACTCACAAATATTTTCTCCTGTTCTGTGGATTGTCTTTTCATTCTCTTAATAGTGTCTTTTGATGCACAAAAGTTTTTAATCTTGATGAAGTCCAATTTATCTATTTTTTGCTGTTGTTACATGTGTTTTTGGTACCATAGCAAAGAAATCACTGCCAAATTTGATGTCGCGAAGATTTTCCCATGCTTTCATCCACAAATTTTACAGTTTGTGTCTTTAAGTTTAGGTCTTTGATCCATTTTGTGTTAATTTTTGTATATGATGTGCAAAAGGGGTCCAGCTTTATTCTTTGCATGTGGATACCCATTTTTTTTCTGCACCATTTGTTGAACAGACTGTCCTGTCCCTATTGAATAGTCTTGGCACCCTTGTCAAAATATCAACTGGCCATATATGTGAGGTTTATTTCTGCATTCTATTCTGTTTTGTTGGTCTGCATGGCTGTCCTTTATGCTGGTACCACACTAACTGTATTTTATACATTGCATTTAATCCTCACAATAGTATTTTGAAATAGAGATTCTTACTCTTATTTTATAATTGAATAAACAACCTCAGAAAAGTTAATTACCTGAAGGAATCATAGCTAGTAACTGGGAGACTAAGGATTTAAACCCATCCATTTTCCAAGCATTAGAAATACAATCAGTTCATAGAAAAACATTTCCCTCTGGGGAATTGAGCCCAGACAGTTAAAGGCACTGAAACAGAATAAACTTAAAACTCTGCAGAGTTGGAATCATTAACCCACTTAGCCGACTTAGAGTGAATGTTCTGTGAGACATTGGTGTTAGGGCTATAGATACAATGGGTAAGCTGAGGCATGAATAACTTGAGCAACATGCTGGAGCTCCCTCAATTTGTTACTCAAAACCAAACTTTATTCCATGATGTCATGGTGCAGCATCAGGGAAGATGGGTCTTGTTAAGTATTTCTCGTACTTGTTTAAAACCAGCCTTTAGAAACAAAAGTCTTATCTTTCCTGGGAAATTCTAATAACCTCCCTAGAGAATAACTGCATTTTGTGGTGAGCCTATCATCTAAGAAGACATCTTGGAATTTTAGTTTCTGCAGTTTGTAATTGGCTATAGCAGAATAGTTTGTTTCGCATATATGAAACCGTACCATAATATTGGATGTATTTTTTCCAAACTATACTTTGCCCACATACATGCTTTTCAGAAGCAGTGGTTTAAAGGGTCAGTAAGGTGTAGAGCCTCATTCTGAAGAAAGGGAAAAATACAGGCTTACTGATAGAATGAGAAAATCTGTTCTGTCAGGTCTTACTCATTTATCATTTGTTGAGCCTTTACTTTATTTGATACTCTCCTAGGTCCTGGAGATACAAAGACAATGTGACACAAAATTTCTTAAGGCATCTCCATTCCTTGGGTGAAAAACAGTTTATAGCCAGTTCTAAGGCCTGCAAGATCTGCTGCTGAAAAAACTTCATTCTTTAGTTCAACAAATATGAATTTATTTAATTGTGCCAGGTGCTACTATAGGCATTTAGGATATTTCAGTGACGATGATTCCTCTTTTAAAGGAGGTTACATTCTACCAGACGGAGTCAAATGATAAGCAATAAAACGTAAACTAGTACTAGTATGGTAGGTGGTGATAAGTACTATGGAAAAAGAAAAAAAGAAACTTGGGACTCCAGAGTGCCAGACAGGCTTTAGAATTGAATGGGGTGATCAAGGAAGGCTTTACTGAGGCCATATTTGAATAAAAATCTGAAGGGGACGGAGGGAACAAATCCTCTATCTGGGTTAAGACCAATCCAGGCAGAAAGCATCAAGTCCCAAGGCCTTGACGTGAAATTATCCTTGGCATGTTCAAGGAACAAAAGGGATTGGGATTTTGGAGCTCAATGAGTGAGAGAAAGAGTGGTAGTAGATGAGATCACAGAGGTAATGGAGTGGGGGGATTTTGTAGGGCATTTTACTCAGTGAAATGGAATGCCAAGGGATGGTTTTAAGCAGGGGGATAATAATGACCTTTCCGATGTGTTTACATGATCACTATAATACTTGCCATTCTAGTACTAGATAATTTGCTTATTAGCTTATGTGATGAGACTAAAGGAGGGTAGAGGGGAAGCAAGAGAGAAAGCAGGAGGCTACTAAAATAATCCCTGGCATAAAAATGAGAATAGTGAAGGTGGTGAGAAACAAATGGGTCTGTATATATTTGAAAGTAGAGCCAATGGAACAGGAGTCCAAGAAGATTCCGAGATTACTGGCCTGAATAACTGTAAGAATAGGGTTGCCATTGACGGAGGATGAAGACTATGAGCTGTTCTTTTGCGGGGGTGGGCGAGTGGGGGGAGGGTTGGAATCAGGAGCTTAGTTTCATCATGTGAATTTGAAATGTCTGTTACACATTTATGTAGGCAATTGACTATCATTGTATATAATGTAGCTTTGTTGAACTCTACGAGAGGCACTGTTTTAAGTGCATTGCCCTCAGTCATTCTTGTAGTCCTCAGAGCAGCCCATGAAGTGGATTTTTTTTACAGGTGAGGAAACAGGGCTTAAGTAACATGCCTAATATCACAGTTAAGGAGAGAGGCTACAATACAAATCTAGGCATAGGCAGTCTGACTTTAATCATTCTCAGAGGATGCCTGGCACTGAGTAGTGGGCAGTCAACAAGTATTACGTCAGTGAATGAATAAAACAAAAGGCACAGGAGCTACTATCTTCAGAGTCCTTCTATGTTCGTCATTCTTCTTGGTGGTCTCTGGCACCACGCTCAAGTAAGGGAGAAAAATGAAAGGGGTAGCTAATGCTGGTGACAACGACTCTCAGATGGTTTCGTTTCTACCAGAAAGGCCCCGTTTAGCGCGAACGCAGAAGCTCCGCTTTTAGCGCATTTATTCACGCCATGAGTACTGCAAGCAGCCCAGTTTCTGCTTCAGGCAACATTAACTTCGCAGTACTCTAGTTACCAGATTTCGCTAGAGAAACGTAAAGAGGTAGGAACTTTTATGTGCAAACTTTACTGCTCCCGCACGCATGCGCTCCGCCGAGGGGAAAGTGGTTACTACGGCTGCGCGAATCTGTGGCCCGGCCCTTCCCCGTCACATGTCGGGGGACCGCGGCGTGGCGGCGGCTGTGGCGGTAGCGACGGCAGGCCGTAGGGCGGTCGGAGGGTTTCCGGTTCCGGTGTAACGTTCGGGCTCCGTCTCAGGGGCTGAAGTTTGTGAGGTGAGTAGTGGCCCCGGGCCCTGGGAGGGTATCCTCCGGTCTGAGCGGTGAGGGCCAGGGCTCAGCCCAAGGGGAGGACAGAGGCGGGAACGTTCAGTGGGAAGGAAGCCGAAAGAAGTACAAGGTTCTGAGGCAGAATGGGTTGGAGTGAGATTGTGGGGAGGAAAAGGGCGGGGGCGGGAAGGGGACGGAGTGGGGAGACTAGCTTTAGGATGAGTTTGGGAAGAACAAGGTGGGGTAGGGAGCAGGTCGGAGATAGGAAGAGGGCAAACAGAAGAATAGGGGTTGCAGGGGGGGAAACTCAGCTTATAGCAAAAAAGAGCACGGAGTAAGGAAATTTATTCAGAAGATTGGATTCTGCTACCTGCTCATTCAGAGATCCTCTGCCTTCCTCTTCTTCCACCCCCACCCCGCCCCGCCCCAGCCATTTATTGTTGAACATTGGATTAGTGACAAAGCTGGTTACTGTTTGAAACTTTTATTTTTGCCCACTGGCTGTCTAGTTTCCTAGAGGATTGGATCGAAGTTGAATGCATTTGTTAGCATGATACTTGGGCACACATTTCCTCTGATAGAGTGGTACCTCATTTGTTGCTTTGGATTTTCAAATTGCTTACACTTTCCAGCCCACGATTGAGTTCTTGTGGAATATAAGATCCGTTAAAGCGAGGATTGTTATGTTCACTGTCCTGTGTATCCTCAGCACACAGTACACTACTTGAGACCTAGTAATTATGCAATAAGTATTTGTTGAATGATTAAGGATGATTTAGGTGTGGGAATGGGCCTCATTTTGTAAGATGAGTAAACTAAGCCACAGAGGAATTATTTGCCCCAAAGCTGGTAGAGTTCAGTGTTACAAATGTTCAGGGTGAACTCTTTCTTCACTCTCTTTGGTGTCTGAGTATGCTTTTTTTGAGTAATGCACATTTAATATGTAGAGATTTATAGGCTCTACTGCTATCTCATGAGAGTTGAATAGAGCTGCCACAGAATTATTCATATAACATGTCCCTGAGTCACAAAATCTTTCACTCCTATTGTCATGACTTTAATCTGCTAGCTACCTATGGTTATACCAAAATTAAATATGCTGTTTAGCAACAGGTCTTACAGAGGATAAACCTGCCAAGAATGTAGAAATTAATCAGACTATCTTTTAGGAGAAAAGATGTCTTAAAACATCTTGAAAGAATGACTCCCAGAGACCCTGATTTGTAGCACTGCTGGGAGGAAGTTTGCTTGGAAATTGAGGTCAGTGCTGTTTATTGACTTTAGGCACTTACAGAGAAAATTAGGGAAATAAAATTTTCTCTGTGCTCATGAGCTTTGCTATTTAAATGGGAGAGCAAAATGTAAATATGAATAATGTTGAAGAGTTATACTAACTTGCATTAAATAACAAAGGTTTGTTGTAGAAGGTCCTTTGTGATAGTGTTTTCTCTGCTAAACTAAAAAGTAGAAATATAAAGATGAAAAGGGAGAGAGAGAAGGTACATCCAAAATAAGGGAATTCTTTTCTGAGCCGAAGGATTAATTTTATGAAGTCAACTGACAGATCCTATAGAACATGAGAGAAAATGATCTGGGTACAGAATTTCCACAGGGATGAATATGACTATAGAGAAATGTGACAACATTCTTAAGGATTATGAGCTTTAATTAATTAATTAATTTATTTATTTTAAAGTAGGCTCCACACTCAGTGTGGGGCTTGAATTCACAACCCTGAGATTGAGAGTCACATGCTCTATCAGCTGAGGTAGCCAGGCTCCCCAGGATTATGAGCCTTTTTTTTTTTTTTTAAATCATAGCTGGAGGAGGGCCTGTGGAAGAGCGAGAAAGAGAATTTCAAGCAGGCTCCACACCCAGAATGGACCCTGGTGTGGAGCTCAGTCCCATAACCCCAAGATCATGAACAGAGCCGAAATCAAGAACTAGATGCTTGACCAACTGAGCCACCCAGGCACCCTTGATTATGAACTTTAATATACAATGACTGACCCAGATAAGCCCTCCTTTTTTTTTTTAATTCATCCCTTAAAGGAAAGGAAACTTACGGGTCAAGGCTGAGTTAAGGAATGCCTGCCTAGAAGCAGGAGAAATAGAAAAGCTGGTCTCTGGGTGGGCTTTTCAGTCTTGTTTTCAGGTTATATGTTTGCCACCAACCCTTGTTATGTCAGGACCAAAACAGGCTAAAACTCAGACTAGATTATTCCCAAGGTTTCCTTGTTTATTCCACAAATTTACTGATGCACTGATACTTACTGAGTTAGGGTTACAAACAGAATGTGACTCTTTCTGCTTTGAAATACGGATTTTTGGGGAAGTATTTGGCTTGAAATGAAGTACAGGCACTTGCCTGATTGAGAAGAGGGATGGAGATGTCATTCCTGACATACTAAACATTGCCTGGAATGGTCTTTTCCTACCCCCAAACAGAGCTTTTTCCTGGTTTCTTTTTAGGTGCAGTACTGAATCCCATTTGAGCTACCCCCTTTTTCCTGAAGAATGGCACTGTCTAAGAGGGAGCTGGATGAGCTGAAACCATGGATAGAGAAGACAGTGAAGAGGGTGCTGGGCTTCTCAGAGCCCACAGTGGTCACAGCAGCACTGAACTGTGTGGGGAAGGGCATGGACAAGAAGAAGGCAGCTGGTATGTTCTTTCATGAATCTTTGGAGTTAACATATAGTATGATCCCAAACACTGCTTTGAATTTCCCCAAATTCTCTGTTGGAAATATCTGAAAAAGATTAGGCCACATTTTATTTTCTCCTGCATTATAATGGAAATAGCCTAAGTGACTAATTTTGCATTTTTTCTGGCTTTTTATACCTTTAACCAGTATTATTGAATTGACTAGGTTATATTTACTTAAGAAATATACTAAAGTAGGTAGGTATATTCAGATTGAGATTGACATCTAAATACATCGAAGTCTCTGAAAAATAAAAACATGAAAAAAGTTGAAGATGGTAGAATTTGTTTATGGTAGTCTCCTATAGCTTGCTCTTTGGGAAGAGTTGGGATGATTATTCATCATAAACTTTTTTTTTTTTTTTTTTTTTTTTTTTTTTTTTTTTTTTTAGATTTTATTTATTTAAGAGAGAGCATGAGCAGGGGGGAGAGGGAGAGGGAAAAGCAGATTCCCCACTGAGCAGGGGGCCTCCTAACCTGGGATTCGATCCCAGAACCCTGGGATCATGACCTGAGCTGAAGACTGGCGCTTAACTGACTGAGCCATCCAGATGCCCTATTCATCATAAACTTCGATGCTCAACCTGAATAGGTTGCTCTGGCTGTGCTACTTCCTACTGTAAAAAAAAATTCTTTTTTTTTTTTTTTTTTTTTAAGATTTTGTTTATTTATTTGACAGAGAGAGATCACAAGTAGGCAGAGCAGCCGGCAGAGAGAGAGGGAAGCAGGCTCCCCGCAGAGCAGAGAGCCCGACGCGGGGCTCGATCCCAGGACCCTGAGATCATGACCTGAGCCGAAGGCAGAGGCTTTAACCCACTGAGCCACCCAGGCGCCCCTGTAAAAAAAAAATTCTAACTGTACTTTTACCTCAAAAAGTAAAGTCGTTCAATGTAAAAGGATTTATGGGAATCCTACAGAGAACTTAGGAAGACCTTTCCCTCCCTCCTGGGGATAAAATTTCAGTGTTGGTATCTGTTATATGCCTAGTGTTGGACTAAGTACTCTTACTTTTTCAACCCTATCACCTTTTTTTTTTCCTGCCAGACCATCTGAAACCTTTTCTTGATGATTCTACTCTCCGATTTGTGGACAAACTGTTTGAGGCTGTGGAGGAAGGCCGAAGCTCTAGACATTCCAAGTCTAGCAGTGACAGGAGCAGAAAAAGAGAGCTGAAGGTAGGTTACAGTTAACTATCTGATGAGCTGGGGAGTGTTTTGAATGGTAACAAAGTTGCTGAGCTTACATGCCCCATGCTTTGATATCCTCTATTAGAATACATAATATTCAAGAGAGGTACTTAGACATTAAAGGAGAGGTGAACTTGTATTATCACCATTTTATGGTGATGAACTACCTGAGTTCATGGGTTGAAATACTCCAAAGAAACAATTGGTAGCTTTGTCCTTTTTCATGTACAGTTAGGAGTTTTTGGTTCTTATATTTCCTTATGTCTCCTCCACCTTCCCCCTTGCTACTACCTATAAATTGATTGTCTAAGGTTTCTTTGGATTACTTGGTAACTAATAGAGTGATTCAGAATATGACTCTGCTGCTGTAGACTTCATTGTTGTACCTTTGAGAGAGGTTTCTCTGGAATGGACCTGTAGATGGAATACCTAACAAAAATTATTATTTACTGTATGTCTTGAGAGGCTACTGTTTGCTATATAGTATTTTTCTGGTCATCAGGCCCCGTGAGTGGAGTGCTTAAAAGGACCATTATTACTGTTTTACCTCCTTCACTTTTTATTCAGTGACTGCTGATTCATCGTGCCTTCTTTCAATATTAGCAGCTTCAGGTGGCTAATTTCTCTATCTCTTTTCTGTCTCTTCCATTAAGAAACTCTTTTCTGTGAGTCCCATCAAACCTTCCAAAGTGCATTTGAAACCTTAGCTATCCTGTTGCTTTTCCTGAGGCACAAAGACTAAATAAGCAATGTTGGCTTGGTCCCGGGCCAGGCTGTGGTACCAAGAGAAGTAGAGAATCGTGTGCCTTTTATGTTTAAGGCATTGTAAGGTGTTCAGAGGAATGAGAAATAGCCCTTGCTTTAAAGGAATTGGCAGCTTGGGGGTGGGAGGGATGTGACAACAAAATACAGTCGCAAATTATAAAATCTAAGTAGCGGTTTCCTATATATTTTAGAGTTGACTATAGAGTCAGATTGACGTTGAATTTGTTTGTTGGAGGGGAATGCTTGATCCACAGTATACACAGATGTGTGGAGCGAAGTTAGTGCTATAATAGGGCATGTGGCTGTGTAAGTTCTGAGGCATGCTGTGAATGAAGTCACTACATTGGGTGGGATTAATGAAAACGGTTTCTTGAAGGAGGTATCTAGATAGCCTTGGGATATGGGTCCCATTTTGGTCCATTCAGGTCCCCACCCCCCACAATATATTATGGGAGAGTCCTTTTTCTTGAACTGTAGGAGTTCCAGGAAGCGCTCGCCCTTGGCCGAGGATATGTCCTTGCAAAACACGAGCCCTCCTAGTGAAGAGGGGATGTCACCCAAAGCCTACCACCGGTGTGTACATTTGCTTTTTCCCGTTGTCCCTTCCAGTTGGCCACTCTTGGTCCTGTTAAATTCACCTTGCAAATTAGTCAACATATTTGAGTTCCCATTGTTTGATGACAACAAGTGTTATTGGGGAATACTGAAGAAGAAAGAGAAAACCCCTGTCCTGGAAGAGCTTAGACTCTAGTTGGGAGAAAGTACTAACATTAAAAGACTTAACATTTGGCAAGCAGAATATCAGCGATGTAATTTTATGTAGCATGAGCCCAGGTCTTAAGTGCTAAGAGGATATGAAACAACAGTTTGATCAGAGTGGGATGAGATTATTTATGAGGAAAACTTCCTGGAGGAGGTGAGTTTCAGGCAGGATTTGGAATAGGGGTGTGGAAAAATTGAGGGAAATCATTACAAATGTAGGCAATAGCTTTTGTAAAGAGCTTGAGATGGGAACATTTATAAGGACACGGAGATGAAATTTGCTTGACTGGAGTAGAATGATGAAGTTGGGTGAGATGGTCCATTTGGTGGAGGGACTAGAGGACTCTGGGAAAAGCCACAAAATGCTGATAGGGACTAGGTTGATTTTTCCCTTCTCCCATGGGCAGGGAGACAACTCTTCTTTCGTCTTGGGTTTCCTTAGGAAGTGTTTGGTGATGACTCTGAGATCTCCAAGGAATCATCAGGAGTAAAGAAGCGACGGATACCCCGTTTTGAGGAGGTGGAAGAGGAGCCTGAAGTGATCCCTGGACCTCCCTCAGAAAGTCCTGGTATGCTAACTAAGCTCCAGGTGAGTAATTAGGAACTGAAAGCAGTGATTTTATGAGTTGAAGAAGCAAGAGATGCATGGGTCCAGATTTGTTGTGACCTTAATTTGGATTCGTGTTTAGCATCGGGGAAGACTATTGAAGTTGTATTTACTGAGCACCTGTTATGTGGCAAACAAGCTGTATTACATATATCATTTGCCTAGTTGTGTACCTCATTGAGTCATTGAGAAAATTACTGAAATAATCAGAACTCAACTTGATGGCAGAGGAGAATTTCCAAATATAATGCAGAGACAAGACAATATAATCCACTAAAAATAATTTCAAGTTGACTTTGTCAGGGTGGCAAGGGCGGTTTGTGGGTTGTTGTTTTTTTTTCCTTTGATGTTATTTGTTTAAAGAGAGCGAGCTCACGCAAGCAGGAGAGAAGGGCAGAGGGAGAGAATCCCAACCAGACTCTGTGCTGACCAGAGTCCAGCACAGGGCTCGATCCAAGAGCCAAAACCAAGAGTCAGATGCTTGACCAACTGAGCCACCTAGGCACCCCGACTTTGGGTTGTTTTTTTTAGTAGGAATTATCTGGGGGTGCCTGGGTGGCTTAGTCAGTTAAGCGTATGCCTTTGGCTCTGGTCATCATCCCAGGGTCCTGGGATTGAGCTCCATGTCGGGCTCCCTGCTCAGCAGGGTGTCTGCTTCTCCCTCCTCCCTCTTCTCTGATTTATTCTCTCTCTCTCTCTTTCTCATATAAATAAGTAAGTGAAGTCTTTAACCTTTATAAACAGTAAATATTTCTTGTGCCATTTAAAATTTCTTAGAAGGGAAATAGAATATATACATGTATGTGTATAGATAAGTAGATGAATTTCTTTTCTTTTCCTTTTTTTTTTTTTTTTTAAAGGTAGGGGGTGCAGAGGGAGATGGGGAGAGAGAGAATCTTAAGCAGGCTCCACTCCCAGGGTATAGCCTATCACGGGGTTTGATCTCATCACCCTGAGATCATGGCCTGAACCGAAATCAAGAGTTGGACCCTTAACCGATTGAGCCACCCAGGTGCCCTGGAAAGAAACGAATGTTGGTGCTTTATAGAGAATAGGGGGTGGAAGAAATAATATACCTTTTTGTACTTCTTTTGCATTTTGAACTATGTAAACATATTACCTACTCAAAAAAATGTTTACAAAAAGTGAATTTTAAAGGGGCTCCTAGTGGGCTCAGTGAGAAGAGCACGCAGCTTGGGGTTGTGCGTTTGACCACCATGTTGGGTATAGACATTACTTAGATAAATGAAACTTAAAAAAAAAAATAAATTTCAAAAAATACCGTGAAGCACCTTGGCAGCAAGGTCTCTTTTTTGGAAAATTCAGAGTTACTTGATTGTATTTTCAAAGCTTATCATTTTCATGTTCTTTAGGACAAAAGGGTTTTACAGAGGCTAGGAAACAGGTCTTTGGTTTGTCATCTCCAGTTACCCAAAGCAGGTATTCATAAAAAGTATGATAATGTGGGGCACCTGGCTGCCTCATTCAGAAGAGCATGAAACTGTTTTTCTCAGGGTCCTGAGTTTGAATCCCATGTTGGATGTAGAAATTCCAAAAAATAAATAAATACACTTAAAAAAAAAAGTATGGTCATTTGTGTTGATTTTGTTAGGAGTTTTGTTTAAGTGCTCATAATAGTCTTGTAACGTAGGTACTGTTTTTACCCTATTTAGACACTTGGAGTTTTAGAGATTAAATACCATATCCAAGGTCACACAAGCATTAAGTGTCAGTTAAAATTCAGGCTCGGGTTTCTCTTAACCTGATGTTTTGTTTTGTTTTTTATTTTAAGATTTATTTATTTTGAGAGAGGTAGTGGAGAAGCAATCGGAGAGGGAGAGGGAGAATCTCAAGCAGACTCCATGCTGAGCATGGAGGCTGTCGCAGGGCTCCATCCCACAGAGATTATGACCAGAGCCAAAAACATGAGTCGGACACTTAACCCAAGTCTTAACTGTCAAATTATGTTACTACCTAACATGCCAGTCCTTCAGTAGGATGATGGGTTGAAAAGTTTCAGTGCTCAGCTATATAGGCTTATCTTTACTAAAATTTCTAGCCAATCGTATAGGCAGAATATGATGGGTTCATTCAAACATTTTAGTTCTCTATACCTAAAAGCCTTTTGTGTTTAGGAACCCATACAGGAGAAATAAAAAAGAGATTTTGAGGTGTCTGGGTGGCTCAGTTGGTTAAGCATCTGCCTTCGGTTCAGGTCATAATCCTGTTGTCCTGGGATCAAGCCCCAGGTCAGTAGGGAGCCTCCTTCTCCTCCCTTTGCTGCCCACCCTGCTTTTGTTCTCTCATTCTCCCTCTGTCAAATGAATAAATCTTAAAAAAAAAAAAAAAAAGATGTTAACAGTTTTTTTACTTTTTTCCCCCATCGAGAACAGATCAAACAGATGATGGAGGCAGCTACACGGCAAATCGAGGAGAGGAAAAAGCAGCTGAGCTTCATTAGCCCCCCTACTCCTCAGGTACTGTGAAAAGAAGACTCTTTAGCAAAGATTTCTTGCCATCCAGTCATTTGAGAGTCTGGAAGGTGACTGCATGTTCCACCCTACAATCTACCAGTCTGTGTGTGTGTCTTTTGTGTGACCTGTCTGCCTAATTCTTCTGATTCTGACTTCTTTTTCTCTATCTCACAGCCAAAGACTCCTTCTTCCTCCCAACCAGAGCGACTTCCAATTGGCAACACTATTCAGCCCTCTCAGGCTGCCACTTTCATGAATGATGCCATTGAGAAGGCAAGGAAAGCAGCTGAATTACAAGCCCGCATCCAAGCCCAGCTGGCACTGAAGCCAGGGCTCATTGGCAATGCCAACATGGTGGGCCTGGCCAATCTCCATGCCATGGGCATTGCTCCCCCGTGAGTATCTGTTTCATGGAACCTCTTGTTATTGCTGGAGAAGCAATAAATACCTTTGAAAGTTAAAAAACAACAACAACAACAAACAAAAACCCTGAAATGTTACTGATCCTCTTCTTCCAAGAAACCTACATCATTTCTTAGTTTTATATTTCTTACATATGCTTAATAAATACCAGATGAATTCTTTTAGCTTCCTTGTTGCAGAATTTATCTTCTTTTTACAATTGATAGAACGGAGGTTAAGATTATTTATCTATTGTTGGAGCTAGGAATAGAACCAGGTCTCCTGGTTCCTAACTCAGAGCCAAATCCATTAAATCACAGTGAGTGATCTCAGATCTGAGTGTTCCCTACACTGGATAAAGATACTAGGCTTTATTTTTATCACCTACAATTGGTTTGGCATATTATATCTGACTCAGAAATTCAGGATTGCAAATTCTTATCAATGTAATGTATATATAAATTCATTTCATCTGATTGTCTTCTATACTCAAATATTTAGTTTGATGTTTTCAGTCAAGCTGTTATTACTCACTGATGGGCCTATATTCCCTAGAATTTTGTAACCTGTTCTCTGATTTGTTTGATTTGTTTTCTTTTGTTTTTATTTGCTTCATTTATTGCCCCATATGGCATTTATTTCTTGGTGGGCTGTTTCTCAGGAAGGTGGAGTTAAAAGATCAAACGAAACCTACACCACTGATTCTCGATGAGCAAGGCCGGACTGTAGATGCAACTGGCAAGGAGATCGAGCTGACGCACCGCATGCCTACTCTGAAGGCCAATATTCGTGCTGTGAAAAGGGAACAATTCAAACAACAGCTAAAAGAAAAGCCATCTGAAGATATGGAGTCTAATACTTTTTTTGACCCCCGAGTCTCAATTGCCCCTTCCCAGCGCCAGAGACGCACTTTTAAATTCCATGACAAGGGCAAATTTGAGAAGATTGCCCAGCGGTTACGGACAAAGGTACCTAGTTAAGAACATAACCCAGAACTAGAAGTTAGGAAGGGGAAAAGGAAACTTAATACAGTCCTAAAATACTATCAACTCAGTTCTCTTAAGTTTTAACAATTAGATACACAAGTAATAAAACAGTGACTTAATTTTTAAAATACTTCATTTATGCCTGGAATCCTTGACTTTTTTAGCTGATTTGTCTTCTTAATTATACTCTGCTTACGTGGAAATAAAACTGAGTTTGAAAATACACATACAAACAGTGGAAGGAAACAATTCAGAATACTCTGAGTGACTGAGGAAAGCTAGCCTGGTGTTAACATTTACTGCAGATAAATTAACTCCACACGTGGAGAGTTGGATTGACTGTATATTCAGTGAGTTTTGCTCTTGTTTTCATCCTCTAAGAATGGTGTTTTCATGAAATTCCATTTCCGTGTATTTGCTATAGGCACACACTGTGGGGTGAAGTGGGTGGTGCTGAGAGTAGTTGTATGTAAATCAACTAAGGATAAAATAAAGTGGAAGGTTCTTCTAAGATTTCAGAAATTATGAATTCTTTGCATTAGGCATAAAGAGTTCAACAAGAGAGTGCTTTAAAATACGGGGTTCTATCATATCCTGGTGTTCTGTAACTCTAGTTTATCTTCAAGTCTTGTTTTATCTTGTCTTTAGGCTCAACTGGAGAAGCTGCAGGCAGAGATCTCACAGGCAGCTCGAAAAACAGGCATCCATACTTCAACTAGGCTGGCCCTCATTGCTCCTAAAAAAGAACTAAAGGAAGGAGATATCCCTGAAATTGAGTGGTGGGACTCTTACATCATCCCCAATGGCTTTGACCTGTGAGTTTGTTAGTTAATACCTTTTGATAAAGCTGGAGTTTTATTGGGAGAGATGGTATTCATGCATTAAGTAAAATTTTAAAATCCTGGGGAAATAGGTAACCATACACAGACTCATGTGTTTGTGAAGAATATATTGTATAGGTTTTTTTTAATTTGGGGGGTTAACATAGGAAGGAACAGGCACAAATAATCTAAAAGAAAAAGAATGTAAGTTTTATATATAGTTATTTTCTTAATTACATTTTCTGCCACTTATAATAGGTTTTTATATTTCTTAAAGATCCAGTCCTGGAATAGTGGAAGGATTCTTAATTGATGGGGGAGAGAATGGTAAATAAAGCATTTAGGAAACATTTGGAGAGCTTTAATTACATCTGCTCTGTAATTCTGATACATGGCTTTAGGAGACTGTGTTCCAGGCTTTCCCCTTACCCTTTGTCAACCACTGTCCCAGGGAGTTACCATTATTAGTTGAGAGAATGTGACATCTGTCAAGGATGTTAGTGTAGGAAAAAGGTTGAGAATGACTGGTGTGGAGAATATGTCCAACCTTAGTGGGAGCCAGTTTTCTCATCTTGAAAATTATGTGTAATATAATTACATGTTGTAGATAAACAAACACTAAAAAGTGCTAGAACACATAACGGAGAGTGCATTTTTCATTGTGTTTCTGAGACTCCCTCTCTCTTGGAATTGTCTCTACCTACATATCCTGTTTTCCCTTCTTCCTCCAATTTTAGTACAGAGGAAAATCCCAAGAGAGAAGATTATTTTGGAATCACAAATCTTGTTGAACATCCAGCCCAACTGAATCCTCCAGGTAATGTATAGCTTACTCAGTTAAGGCTCTAGAGAAGTATTATCCAATAGAACTTCATGTGATAATGAACATGTTCCCTACCCATGCTGACTATACAGTACCAGCTGTCCACTTGTGACTACTGAGCACTTGAAAATGGAGTTGCATTAATACAACCGAAAGACTAACTTTTAAATTATGTTCAATTTTAATAGTGTATGTGTGGGGCGCCTCAGTGACTCACATGGTTAACATCTGATTCTTGGTTTTAGCTCAGGTCATGATCTCAGGGTTGTAGGATCAAGCCCTAGCCCTGTGTCAGGCTCTGTGCTAGGTGTGGAGCCTGCTTAAGATTCTCTCTCTCTCCCTCTGCCGATCCTCCTTGTATGCATGCACGCGTCTCTCTCCATATATATATATAAATAAGTAGATCTTTAAAAATATGTAGGTAGGCAGATAGTGTATGTGTGTGGCTATTAGCTATGGTATTGGACAGTGCAGCTCTAGAGCAGTGAGGCCTACTCCAGAGATGGTTTCACTAATGCGTGTAACAGATTGGGTTTTAAAAAATCATTCTTGGGGCACCTGGGTGGCTCATTCGTTAAGTGTCTGCCTTCAGCTAGTGTCCTGGGATTGAGCCTCATGTTGGGCTCCCTGCTGGGCAAGCCTGCTTCTCCATCTCCCTCTGCCTGCTGTTCCCCCTTCTGTGCTTGCTCTCTGTTTTATTTCTAAGTAAATATAATCTTCAAAAAAGAATCATTCTTGGGATGCCTGAGTGGCTCAGTCGGTTTAGCATCTGACTCTTGATCTCGGTTCAGGTAGGATTGTGCGTTTAAGCCCTACATTGGACTCCACGCTGGGTGTGAAGCCTACTTAAAGTAAATAAATGAAAAGCATTTGTATCTTTGACTCCCAACTCCGGTCTTGTACACCATTACTGAATACCTGCCCTTCTTCAGTCTCCTTTGTCTTTACCCATTCTCTCTTTCATTTTTGTAGCAAAAGTCTGTTGCCTCACTCAAAAGAGAGAGAAGTTTTAGTTGTGGCTCTGTTTTTACCTAGCTGAATCCCTTGGGTAAATCACTTAGATTTACTTGGAATTTTCTCACATGTAGAGATAATATTAACTATTACATCTTCTTCAACAAGAGTTGTGCAGATCATTAAAGATTTTATTTATTTATTTGACAGAGAAAGAGATCACAAATAGGCAGAGCAGCAGGCAGAGAGAGAGGGGGAAGCAGGCTCACTGTTGAGCAGAGAGCCCGATGTGGGGCTCAATCCCAGGACCCTGAGATCATGACCTGGGTGGGAGGCTTAACCCACTGAGCCACCCAGGCACCCCACAGATCATTAAAGATTTTAATACTTGCATCAGATTTGGGATGACTAAAGGACACAATACCTCGATTAGTAAATTTTGAAAAAAATAGGTTGAGACCTTGAGGTAATACAATGTATGGAAATCACTGAATATTACTTAGTAAGAGTCTACTTAGATGTCATCAGTGTGGATCATTGGAAGAACGTAGGGATTGTGTTTAAAACAAAAAGTTCAGAGGTTGGGGCACCTGGGTGGCTCAGAGTGTTAAAGCCTCTGCCTTCGGCTTAGGTCATGATCCCAGGGTCCTGAGATTGAGCCCCTCATTGGGCTCTCTGCTCAGCAGGGAGCCTGCTTCCCCCTCTCTCTCTGCCTGCCTCTATGCCTACTTGTGATCTCTTTCTCTGTCAAATAAATAAATAAATAATTTTTAAAAAATTAAAAAGTTCAGAGGCATATGAGTGGCTCAGTTGAGTGTCTGACTCTTGGTTTCACCTCAGGTCATGATCTCAGGGTCAAGAAATCCAGGGGAGGGCGCCTGGGTAGCTCAGTGGGTTAAAGCCTCTGCCTTTGGCTCCGGTCATCATCCTAGGGTCCTGGGATCGAGCCCTGCATCAGGCTCCCAATTCAGCAGGAAGCCTGCTTCTCACTCTCCCATTCCCCCTGCTTGTGTTTCCTCTCTTGCTGTGTCTCTGTCAAATAAATAAATAAAATCTTTAAAAAAAAAAAAAAAGAAAAGAAAAAAAAGAAATCCAGGGGAGCCCCGTGTCAGGCTTCACACTCAGCAGGGAGTTTGCTTGAGATTCTCTCCCTTTCCCTCTCGCCCTCCATCCCCCCACTTGCATGTATGTACACACTCTCTATAAAATGAATAAATCAGTTTTCAAAAAATAGTAAAAAGTTGAGGGGTGCCTGGCTGGCTCAGGTCAGAAGAGTATGTGACTCTTGCTTTCAGGTCCATGAGTTTGAGCCCCACTTTGGATATAGACATTGTTTAAATGAATAACCTTTAAAACTAATAATAAGTAAAATTAAATAAAAACTTGAGTAAACCTGCTTTGGGAGTCCAGAGGATTTTTCCCAATCCCTGTAACTTCAGAAGTATAAATTTCATCATCGTGGCCCCACCTACCCCAAATCCTCAGACAAGGCAACTAGAGCAGCTCTCACTTTCTTTTCTACATTGGCCACTTTTCAGTTGATTAAAGCATTCAACTCCTTCAAGAAAAAACAAGTTAGAACACTCTCATGAAAGATAAGAATGCTTTAAAAAAAAAAAATGTAACATACTAGGGGCACCTGGGTGGCTTAATTCTTAAGCATCTGCCTTCAGCTCAGGTCATGGTCCCTGGGTCCTGGGATCGAGCCCCACATCGGGCTGCCTGCTTAGCGGGAAGCCTGCTTCTCCCTCTGCTTGTATTACCTTTCTCGATGTCTTTCTCTCTATCAAATAAATAAAATCTTAAAAAAAAAAAAGTAACATACTACCATTATCACAACGTAAAAATAATAAGAATTAAATTTCTTTTAATGTGATTGATATTCACTTACATTCCTCTGATGGGTTTGTTGCTTTTATACTTTCATTTCTCTACCTGGCAGTTGATAATGACACACCAGTTACTCTGGGGGTATATCTTACTAAGAAGGAACAGAAGAAACTTCGAAGGCAAACAAGGAGGGAAGCACAGAAGGAACTACAAGAGAAAGTCAGGCTGGGCCTGATGCCTCCTCCAGAACCCAAAGGTATGTATCTTAGAGGGAGGGAAGAAAGGGTGGTGCGTTTTTTTATCTCTGTAATTCTAGAAGAACTTTCTCATCTCTCTATATTTGGGTGCTTTCCATTTCTCGGAATCATTCATTGATTCTTTTCTTCCTTTCCTAAATTTTCTACAATTTTACTAAGACAGGTCAGCATATTCACTATAGAGGTCATTTAAGGCTTATGAAAATATGTAACACTGTGATCTTCCTGAAAGAATAATGGTCTTGAAATACGTGAAGATAGTAGCTGCAGAGTGTGCATAAATTTGTTTTGTACATAATTCTTAATACCTGAAAAACAAAGATACTGTTAAAAGAAACCTTCACTCCTGTAGTTCCCATTACCACTCAGTAATCTTTTGAGTGAGCACTGTAGGATCTTTAATTAAATGCTGTGATCAGAGTGAAAAATACCAAAGAAATTAAGTTCCTTATCTTTCATAAATTTTCAAGCAGTTTAAGTAAATGTATACCAACTATTTAGATTGTGTGTCCTTCCACAAATGCTGAGGTAATTGGATGGGCTTTTCAAGGTAGGGATTTTTGGAGGAAATGAACTTTGAGCAGAGATTTCAAGTAGGTAAACAGTATGAATTGAGAAAAGGTGACAGGTTATCTCAGCTGGAGAATTAATTGTTTTCTGTCCTCTCTCCATGTGCAGTGAGAATTTCAAATTTGATGCGAGTATTAGGAACAGAAGCTGTTCAAGACCCCACGAAGGTAGAAGCCCATGTCAGAGCTCAGATGGCAAAAAGACAGAAGTAAGTGCCATGGGATTGGGTGGAAACCCAGGGCAAGTACCTTTCCCAGACTCTTCTGGGGGGATCCATATTTGGAGGGAGGGGAGAGTCCTCTGTTGCTCTCTCTTTCCCTCAGCTTTGCCTCTGATCTTCAATGCCTTTCTCACTTGTGGATGTCCTTCCTGTCACGACAGAGCGCATGAAGAGGCCAACGCTGCCCGAAAACTTACAGCAGAACAGAGAAAGGTCAAGAAAATTAAAAAGCTTAAAGAAGACATTTCACAGGGGGTACACATATCTGTATATAGGTAGGTGTCCAATCTGGGCCAGCCTTTGCCTTAGAAATACCAAAAATTTTCCAAGTGCTTGAGGCAGAATAACTGTGGACAAAGCACACTTAACATCAGTCTCTGCTCTCTTCTATGACCCCAACGTGAATCCGGAGCTAGTGAATCTTTTATAATGAGGGAGGTTTAGGGACTTAATCGTTGATCTCTGAGGCTTTTCAGTGAACCATTACTAGTTCTGAAGAATGAATGAATGAATATACCTGTTGAAACAAACCTGTGAACTAAGGATCATCATCCTTTGTTGAAATATAAAATAACCTATTTCTCCAGGAAGCATTAAACCAGAAACTATATTCTTATCCTCACTTACTGCAGTAATCCTTATTTCCACTCCAAAGTATATTTTATACATTGTAAATATTTCCTACCTTCCTGTTGATTTAATGTTTTCATTTTATTCTTTTATGTTGAGTGCTTGTGTACCTTCCATTTTTTAAAATGTGCTCCTTTTTAATAACTAGCTCTTTATTATGAAAGTACTTTATTAGAAAAGTGGTGAAAGCTTATTAAAATTTTTTTTGATCTAATACTATAGAAGGCCCTTACTGAAAAAGTCCCCTTCCTACTCTTTGATCCCTTGACACCACCTACTGTAGGTAATTGCGACTAACGGTTTTTTGCGTAGCTTTCTAGAAATTTTCCATGCATAGCATTCTGACTACTTTATGTTATAAACATCTAGGAGACAGAGTTTGTTGATCTTTATACTGTCAAGAACAATTAGCTTACACATATTTTTGGATGATGGCACATACCTCTCCTTTCTTAGAGAACATTTCAATTACTTGCTATTTGTTGTAGGGTGTACAGTACTAGTCTTTGAAGCATAAGACAGTGGAATTACTTTGGTACTCATTGATTCTAGCTTTTAAGCATTAGTGTATTTGCTTACTTCAAAGGGCTTTGTTTTTAGAGAGAAAACCATTTTGGATCCATCTGTTTATTTGCCATTCCATTCAGGCAGCAACTGATGCTAAAACAAAAGCCGTAACTAAACTTTCCCTTCTCCAGAGTTCGAAATTTGAGCAACCCAGCCAAGAAGTTCAAGATTGAGGCCAATGCTGGGCAGCTGTACCTGACAGGGGTGGTGGTACTGCACAAGGATGTCAACGTGGTAGTAGTGGAAGGGGGTGAGTCTGAAAAAACGGAGGGAGACCGTCCCCACGCAACCCTAGGCCTTGAAGTGATAAGAATGGTGGGAAGAAAAGAAAAGTTTTAGAGCCATACCTGGCTGTAATATCCTGGGCCTCTTTCTGTGTTTATTGGAGTAGAAGGACCTAAGATGTGGTTCCTGGGATCGCTTCAACTACCACATTAAGGTCTGCGTAACAAATGCGCTTAGAGGTTCTTTCTACTTCATCATCTTCCGCCTTTCTGGCAAAGTTCTCCTCCTCTGTTTCCAGGCCCCAAGGCCCAGAAGAAATTTAAGCGTCTCATGCTGCATCGGATAAAGTGGGATGAGCAGACGGCGAGCACAAAGGGAGATGGTGAATGGGGGTTCAAGGGGATTCGGTGGGGGTTGGGGGTGGCGCTCTGTCCTGTCAGCCGTTCCTTCCCAGTGAAAATTGTTCACACTAGATAATGTTTAGGAATTTTAGAAAGACCCATTTGGATTGTGAACATGATAGGCATTCATACAGTATTTATTATGTGGTGATGCATGTGACTGTTAGTTATTCTTCTGCCTGACCTTTCTATGAGCTGCTTTCCCTGTCTGCCTGGTCACTGGCTATGGGAGTGTATTGAGTTTGTGAAAATGTAGCAAGCTACGAATACTCTCTTTTTAAAAGATTTTATTTATTTATTTATTTGACAGAAACAGAGCATAAGAAGGGGAGTGGCAGCAGAGGGAGAGAAACCAGGCACCCCACTGAGCAGGGTGCCTGATGTGGGGCTTGATCTAAGGACCCTGGGGTCATGGCCCAGGCCAAAAGCAGACACTTAACCAACTGAACCACCCAGGCAGCCCAAGCTATGCACTTATATGTGCACTAAGTATTATGCGGGGGGGGGGGGGGGGGGGGGGGGCGCTTTTTAAAGGGTTGAAGGCAAAACGTATATACACTTTTATTCTTTTGCCTGACTTTTTATATGTATAAAATGTAAAAATATAAATTACATGTATATATTTGCTATCCCCCTGAAGGTCACAAATCATCAATATTCATTCTTCCCTTCTTTGGAAACCTGGGTTAGCATTTAACATGCACAGTCTTACTTTTCTTAATTTTACCTAACTTTGGACCTCTTAAATTTTTTGTTCTTAAAGTATTTTTGTGCCCTACTTAAAGTACACTTTTTTACTACAGTTGACCTATATTTTCTTTCGTTTTGCAAGGTTTCTAAGATATTTTCATTTAGTTTATCTGCCCTCCTCCCCTAGATTAAAAACTCCTTGATAAGGTACTCTATCATGTTGGCATCTGAAGCCTGGCTCTCAAAGTGCTTAAGACAAGTTTTTTATTTTGTTTTGTTTTTTAAGATTTTATTTATTTATTTGACAAAGGCAGAGTACAAGCAGGAGAAGAGGCAGGGAGAGCTTCTCCAGCAGGCTCCTGCTGAGCAGAGAGCCCAATGTGGGGCTTGATCCCAGGACCCTGCAATCATGACCTGAGCTGAGGGCAGACACTTAACTGACTGAGCCACCCAGGTGCCCCTTAAGATGAGATTTTATTGTTGATTACTTGTCTTTTTTATTTTTCTCCTTATTCCCGTACCTGGGCAGCTCTTGACATATAATAAGTGCTCAGTAGATGTTGAATTAATTAATATCTCTGGCTGTTTGGAGCTTTCAGTCTAATTCGGGGGAAATAAAAATAACAGAAGAAATTTGACCCTGATACATGGCAAAGAGGGGGACAACATTTAAAAGAATTGGGGTAGACTTGAATACTCCTTGTTTAGAATCTAAATCTTGATCTCTAGTCTAAGTCTAGAGCAAGATTTAGCTATATTGTCTTTTCCAGATGATGAGGAATCTGATGAAGAAGCTGTGAAGAAAACCAACAAATGTGTACTAGTCTGGGAGGTAGGTGATCTTCTGTTAACCACTGAAGCAGAACTTTAACTAATTCCTGGTTTATAGCATTCTAGAGGAGCAGTGGAATGGTAAAACTAAGCGATGACTGATTCCTTAAGCAGTTTAGGTTTCTTTTTGGAGTTCAGTGGTAAATGTTTGGCAGCAGATTCTTCCTGATTATATTTCAGTTAAATTGATGAGTATATACTGTATTTCACCTGGGGGCGGTGGAGAGTATGGAAAACTGGTGGCAAGAATACAAACTCTTGGCCAAGTTGTTTATTTCAGAGTCTTGGATATGAGATGTGGAAAGAGGGAAATGGATTGTGGGATATTTTTTTGGTCTGAATATAATGAAAGAAGTACTAGACTTAAGAATATCAAGTTGGGAGACTGGGCAGTACCACTCACTAGCTGTTCAACTGGACAAAACACTTAACATCAATTACTGTTGGTTTGTTCTACAAAATGTGGATATTATTTTCCCTTTCTATTTGTCAAATTTTTTCTGAACAGAATTAGATTACTATGTAATAGTGCTTTGTAAAATGGAGCTTGTTTATGGTTATACAGTTCCCCTCATTTCTGAAATCTTAGTGAACCAGTGTTTGTTATGAAGAATAAATTAATGAATATTATGCTTATTAAGGCCAAAATGTCAATTAAGGATTGTTCATTATTTGAGAAGCATAAAATACCATCCTGTTTTTCCAGGAAGCATTAAAATTTTCTTTCTTGAATAATTATATCCTTATCCTGATGTGTTGCAGTAATCCTTTTATTCCCACTCCAAAATACATTTTTTACATTGTAAGTATTTTCTACCTTTGTGTTGATGTAATGTAATTATTTTATTCTTTCATATTGAGTACATGTATATCTTTCATTTTTTAAAAGTACTCATGTTTAGTAACTAGTTCTTTATTATAAAAGTATTATTTCAAAAGTGGTAAATGCTTATTAAAATAAATTCTAGTAACACAGAAGAACATTTACTGAAATGGTCTCCTTCTAATCTCTGATTCTTTAAGACCACTCTTCATAGGCAGTTGTTAATGTTCTTCATGTATCCTTTTGTCTTATCCCAGACTTGTCCAATTTATGCATACAAATTAGAATAAGAACCATAATACCCCACCTGCATATTTAAGATCACAACCCCTTCATCTCTTCCAGTTTCTCTTCCATTTATCTCTGAGAATCCCCAGGAATTGTATCTCAGGTTCAGAAACAAGCCAGGTTCTCCTCCAGCTTCTTACTGGAATTTCATCCCTGAGAGTCTCTTGAGACAGCACTAAAGTGCATGCCAAAGTGACTGCCATTGCTGGTGGCGCCTTTGGCAAGGTTGTGGTTACACACCCACTTCTGTATGGTTTTCTGTTGTAGTTCTCCTTGGGTAGTCCCCACACTACTCCCATTCCCCTCTTCCCCTCACCCTCATGTTGTTCTTGGTCTGTGGGCCCCAAAGCCTCCTGCTTATATACAGGGTCCCACTGAGTCTTGGTAGAAGGAGTCCTTTCAGCTTTTTGGTTCTCTCCTTTAAGGCCCAAATCTAGTTCTGGAGGCCTGGTGGGTTAGTGGTTCATCCCATCTCACCCTCCATAGTCCTTCCTGACTTGCTCTTTAACCCAGGTACCAGAGCACAGAATTCCTCATCCTTTGTTCATCCAAAAAAAAAAAAAGAACTGTAAAACAACAACAGCAACAACAAAAACAACCCCTGCAGCCTTTATGCCTATAAATTCATGAAGACTTACACAAATATCCAAGGGAGTGGAGGTTGGAATAGCTTTTACTATAAAATCATGCTCACTAGGCACATTGCTACACAAATGTTACTAGGTTTTAAAGATTCGTTTATTTAAGGGGCGACTCCTGGCTCAGTCAGTTGTGTCTGCCTTCGGCTCAGGTCATGATCTCATGGTCCTGGGATCGAGCCTTGCATGGAGTTCCTGCTCAGTAGAGTCTGCTTCTCTCTCTCCCTCTGCCCCTCCACGCTACTTGTATGCAAACAACAGCCCTGCTTTTCTCTCTCAAATAAATAAAATCTTTAAAAGTAAATAAATAAAGATTTATTTATTAGAGCGAGAACACGTGTGCATGTGCACATGGCGGGGTAGATAGAGAGGGAGAGAATCTCAAGCAGACTCGCTGCTGATTGCAGAGCCCGACACGGGCTTTATCTCACAATCCTGAGATCATGACCTGAGCTGAAATCAAGAGTCAGATGCTTAACTGATGGAGCTACCCAGCACCCCAAAAATGCTACTAGGTTTTAAAAAAGAGTATTACATCTGATTTAAATTAGAAATTGCAATGTTTTGGGGCACCTGGCCAATTCAGTTGGTGGGGCTTACAACTCTTGATATGGGGGTTGTAGTTTGGAGCCCCACGCTGGGTGTAAAAATTTCTTAAAAAAAATAAATAAAATATTTTTAAAAATTGCAGTGTTCTTAACTACAGATGTCTCTTTCCCAGGGTACAGCCAAAGACCGGAGCTTTGGAGAGATGAAGTTCAAACAGTGCCCTACAGAGAACATGGCTCGAGAGCACTTCAAAAAGCATGGGGCTGAACACTACTGGGACCTTGCACTGAGCGAATCTGTGTTGGAGTCCACCGACTGAAACTACTGCGAGCCCTTGCCTCTCCCCTCCTGCCTTTGTCTCTTCAGTCCTCTTACTCTACTTCCCAACCCAGTCCTATTTGTGTGTGTGATCTCAGAACTGTGCCAAGCTGACATTGGGTCAAAGGGAAAACACCTTAGTCCCTTCCCCAGTCAGCCTGGTGCTGCCCTTTATTCCCCTTATGTGCATATGATTAAAGAGTTATTTTTAAAGTTGGTATGATATTTTTCACACATTTATAGGTATTGGACTTTGGGTCTCCAGGTGATCTTTTCTCCCAACTTCTGCAATTGCTGTGGAAAAAGAAAATTTTGTCATTGATATCTGTGTATATATTGAATGGATGAATGGATGGATGGATGGCTGAATGGATGAATATGTATTTTTTGATGTCTGATGGAAATTCTTCACCTCATCTTGGAGCAAGAATGATAAATACTGTTTTTCTCCAGCAGAGTAAATAAAGGAGGAGGTGTTCAGTGGGTAAAAGAGGGTGGAACAAATCTGTTAACCTTCAAGAGAGTCACAAGGCAGATTACCCCTGGTCTTGGCTTTATTCTTAACAGGAAGTCATTTCCTTAAACAGGTACATAGATGAGAGATGTGTGTTGTGGGTGAAGTGGACACAGGAAGAGTCCAAGGAGGATGTTATGGGTCAGTTTGTAAAATGGAATAGGATTCAGGAATTTAGCCTATTTCCTCTCTTTACTAATTAAAAAAATAGAAAATCTTTTTCTAAAAGGCAACGTGTAGTTTGTTTTTTCTTTTCCAAAGAATCTGACTAGATGCGGTTCTTTTCAGAATGTACTGTTTCTGGTTTGATTTTAGGAGTATTTAGGTCAGCATCAGTATCCATTGAAATCCAGAATTCTTACCATATCTACACTTCAATTCATGTTGCCTGTTGAGAACCTACTGGGAATGGATCGAACACAGGAGCCATTAGAGCTCCTGTAACTTGCTCTAGTTGGAGTTTACCAGGAAGTGGTGTTGAAAAATGGATACTTGATTAGAAGTTAAAACATTCCTTACTATAAAATTAACCCTTTATTAAAAGTTTTATGTGTTCAGGTCCTAGTTAGAGTTCTAATTTCAAAACAGTATGAGAGAGTTTTAGGATAAAAAAGGTGGAAGGAGACAGGAACTGCTAAAGGCCTTAAGGAAAACCTAATATGATCTCTTTTAGAGATAAGTAAACTATAACCCAGACAGGTGAGGTTAACTAATTATTCCTGGAGCAGGATGAAATCTGAAAAGCTCACCAGGCCTCAGCAATGAACTGGGTACTTGCTAATAATCATCTCTATCTGTGAGATGGGAGCCAGAGAATTGAACTTGTTTTTGATACTTCTTGATTTAAGCAAATCCAGGGGAAAAATTCATTGTCATAGAAATAAGTGCTTTTGCTCTTATTAAAGGATTTATCACAATAATGTGTGTAAATAATTTATATACTACTTCAAAAATGTATTATTTGCATAAGGCCTAAAAAGGAGGATTTATACTCAATACACACTTTTTCATTGTAAAGTATAGTGAGACTTTTTTTTTTAAGATTTTATTTATTTATTTGACAGAGAGGGATCACAAGTAGGCCGAGAGGCAGGCAGAGGGTCAGGGGAAGCAGGCTCCTTGCTGAGCAGAGAACCTAATGCAGGGCTCAATCCCAGGACCCTGGGATCATGATCTGAGCGGGAGGCAGAGGCTTTAACCCACTGAGCCCACTCAGGCATCCCAGTATAGTGAGACTTAACCATACCTTGAGAAAGTCTTTTTTTTTTTTTTTCTTTTTAAGATTTTATTTATTTGACGGATCACAAGTAGGCAGAGAGGGGGAAGCAGGCTCCTTGCTGAGCAGAGAGCCCAATGCAGGGCTCTATCCCAGGACCCTGGGATCATGACCTGAGCGGGAGGCAGAGGCTTTAACCCACTGAGCCACCCAGGTGCCCCATTGAGCAAGTCTTTAATCTCCCTGTGCTTCACAGTGTTTCTGTTGTCTTTAAAATTTTTGACCCCATCCATACTGTATTGAGCATTGTGTTCCATAAGCATTGCCTCTTTTCTCAGAATAAATTTAAGATAGTAGATTTTAGAGATGAGGAATTTGAGGCTTAGAGTAAGTAAGTTGCTCCAAGGTTCTGGCTAGTAAGTAATGGAGCTTAGTTTGAACCCAGGTTCATTTGACTAGACCCCGAACTCTTAGCCCCTACATATGCTGCTTCATTTGTGAAATAAGGTGGTAGGGACAGCTGTGTTCTTTCAAATGAATGTTATTCCCAGAGTAGTTCCTACTTAAAATGCATTGTGAACTTTAGCAATTCCTTTCATAATGTTTGAAATTATGTATATTATGTCAGATATGTTAATGTCTGTTATTTGTCCTCCAGAGTTCTGGTAAGAATTTTAAAAGTCATTTGGAATTTATGATAGGGAATTAAGTGAGACATCAAGGTAGAAAATAGCTTTTTTGGTTTAAAAGTGAATATAAAATAACTGGACTATTTACTCCTCCCTATATGTAGCTTACCTTGATGAATTTCTAGAATGACCTTGAAAATGTTAATATCCTAGGACTATAGGTACCAAATAATTATTTTTGGATAAGTCAATTCAGTAATAACTAACACTTGACCATTTTACAGTTTTCAAGGTGCTTTTGCATGTTATTCAATGCAATATTCCTGGAGATAAGAAAATATAAATAATTTCACTCAGGGGAGAAAATGTTATTGCACAAAAGAGGCAATTTAAGATAGCTCTTGAAAGATGGGTAGACTTTTGATAATAGGATGTTTTAGGCAGAAAGAACAGAATTAATTGCAAATAGAAAATTACAAGATATATTTAAGGAAAAGAACAGTTTGGAGCCCAAGGAACCATGGAGGGGAGGCATTTGAGATTATACTGGGAAGTTAGATTGGAACCATTGCAGAGAGTCTTAAAAGCCAGGGCTTTTACTTAATAGGTAACAAGGAACACTTTTTTTTTTTTTTTTTTAAGATATTTATTAGAGAGAGAGAGCACTCACAAGTAGGGGAAGCAGCAGGCAGAGGCAGAGGGAGAATCAAGCTCCCCTTTGATCATGACCTGAGCCAAAAGGCAGCCACTTAACCACTGAGCTACCTAGGTGCCCCAAGGAACACTTTTTTTGTTTTGTTTCAAGGGGAGGTATATAAGTTGAAGAGGTAGACTGAGAAGCTGATTGTGATGCTCCTGTGCTGATATCATAGTTCATTAGAATGATAATGATAAACATAAGTAGTAGAGGGCAAAGGGAATGGAAAGCGAATTCATACAAGAGTTGTGGGTTTTTTTTTTTTTTTTTTTAAGATTTTATTTGTCAGACCAGGAGAGCACAAGAGGGGGAGCGGCAGGCAGAGGGAGAGGAAGAAGCAGACTCCCTCCTGACCCTGCGATCATGACCTGAGCCTAAGGCAGATGGTTAACTGATTGAGCCACCTAGGCGCCCCCATACAAGAGATTTCTAGGTAAAGGTCTATAAGATTTGATAACTAGATGGAAGAGGTGGAAACAAAAATAACTAGAATATCCCACTTGAATATGTCTGAATGCAGGTGATGAAATTTAATCTTTAAGAGAGGATAAGGAGAAAGATAACAAAAGGGCTAAAAATGGAACTGTGGCAAATAGGGTGCGAAAACTAGCAATGGGCAGAGAAATCATTAATTTAGTACAGTCTAATTAAGGATTGTACATTTAACAGAAGCAAAAGGAAGTAAGTTTTAAGAAGAGTTTAAGTGTAATAATAGCTGACACCATCATCAAACCTTTTCTGACTCAGGCACTGCTCGAACCACACATTCATTAACTCATTTAATAATTGTAGCACCACAGAGATTAAGAAATTTACCTAAAATTGCTGCTGGTAAGTGGCATAGCCTGAATTTCAGCAGTCTGGTTCTAGAGGTCTTGTTCTTAGCCATTACACTCTCTAGCAGAAAAATGGGAGGTGAAGCCTGCAATAATACACTGGAATTAGCAGTTAGCAGATAATTAGTGCCTTTGAAGTGGGTGTTTCCTCAGCACCTACTACAGTGCCCACTTATTTCACTGAGAAAATGAGCAGCTGAAGAGAATTTCTGCACATTGTGACTAACAAATCTATCAATATACCTGAATCTCTTACCTACATTGTCTACTTTCCTATTAAAAAACAAAACAAAACTGTGGACCTATCACTTGATTCTATCCTCTCCCATCTATTCAAGGAAATCAATCCAGCCATTGTCCCATCTCTACTCTGTATCAATATTTAACCCCCAATTTTCATTTGCATCAGCTATAATTATTTCCCATCGTAGAAAAAGGACTGATGCCTTGATTTCACATTTCCCTTCAGCTTCAATTCCATTTCTCTGCTGCCTTTCTTCCTTTTATTTCTTTTCTTTTCTTTTTTTTTTAAAGATTTTATTTATTTATTTGAGAGAGAGACAGTGAGAGAGAGCATGAGTGAGGAGAAGGTCAGAGAGAGAAGCAGACTCCCCGTGGAGCTGGGAGCCCGATGCGGGACTCGATCCCGGGACTCCAGGATCATGACCTGAGCCGAAGGCAGTCGTCCAACCAACTGAGCCACCCAGGCGTCCCTTCTTTTCTTTTTTTAAAGTAGGCTCGGTACCCAGTATGGGGTTTGAACTCATAACCCTGAGATCAAGAGTCACACATTCACCAACTGTGTGAGCCAGGCATCCCTCATTTTATTTCTTTTTTTTTTTTTTAAAGATTTTATTTATTTATTTGACAGACAGAGATCACAAGCAGGCAGAGAGGCAGGCAGAGAGAGAGGAAGAAGCAGGCTCCCTGCTGAGCAGAGAGCCCCACATCGGGCTCTCTGC